CTGGGTTGTGGGCACTGGGTGTGGGGGCCGGGTTGTTGGCTCTGGGTGTGGGGGCTGGGTAGTGGGCACTGGGTGTGGGGGCTGGGTTGTGGGCACTGGGTGTGCCGACTGGGTAGTAGGAAGTGTGCAGTGTGTAGTCTTACATCAGGAAGTTATAGCTAGTTGGCAAAGATGTGTAGTTGGTCAAGGGCTGGGGATTCAGGAATTGAGACTGTTTACTGGACATGCATGTCTTCTTTACGGCATTGTTTATGTGTTCTGTCAACATCATTTCCTTCCTCCAGTTTTCTGTTGGGCCAATGTTACGCCCTGTGGTTCCTCCATCTGCCTTCCTACGTCAAGGCCACCCATTCTAAGACCAGGGCGCTGAGAACGGCATTTGAGGTGCTCAAGAGGATGCAAGCACAGGAGCTCCAGCTAGCAGACGAGGTGACAAGACTCTATCAGCACTGGGAACAGACTTAGAACAGGGCTGGAATATCCAATTTATTTTTGGGTGGCCTACAAAATACTACGTTTGGTCATAAAACATGTACATGTACACCTAACAGATATAAGGGTTGTGCGAGTTTTAGCATCTTCCTCTGAAATTTTGATTTTTGGAAAGTTTCAAACTACAGGAAGTACCACAGAACTTAGTTCAGCTTTGCATTGATAGCACCATGAGATTAGTGATGGAGGGCGTACCAAGAGCAGAGTAGGGCCTTCAGAACACTGGCACTAATGGCCTGTACAATTCATTCACCCCTGACCAGGAATACTGGATGTGAGGGGAATATACAGGAATAAGCCTGTTTGGGTTGTGAGCATGCTGGGAATATGGTGACTGTCTCTCTTGCTGGGACTTTGCCCTGTTTCACCAAAGAGTTGAGCTGAATGAAATTCATTTTGGTTTCAGTTTGAGATGAACAGGAAGCTGCCCATCTAAGCACTACAGTTCTTGAGCATAAACACTTCACTCAACAGAACAATGTTTAAGTTGCTGTAGCTGGATCTTAGTTGAATTTTATGTTGTCCTTTTAGCTAAATAGTGAGTCCTGCTTCGTAGTTCCCTGAACTTTGTACCCATTGACTTGTACAATAGCCAGGCCTTTGTAGGTATTTGATAATATCCTTTGCAATGACACAATTTTGTATCGTTTGTGTGATCAGTTGAATCAGACTAAGCCGCTGGAACAGTTGGTTGAGGTTGTAGATTTCGGATATTGATCAGATTGATCTACATGAAGTGATCCATCTGATTAATTTGATTGATGGGGTTGATGTCAATGGTCTGAATTGATCTTTGTCCCGGTCAGGTATGCTATCGGGTTCTGATGCAGCTGTGCGGCCAGTACAGCCAGCCGGTCCTCGCCGTGCAGGTCTATATGGAGATGAAGAGACGAGGCATTGAGCCCAATGCCATTACTTACGGCTTCTACAACATGGTGAGTTTGATTGTTGGAGGTTAGCAGGCCAATCCATAATGACCAAGGCTTGTTGCTGTCAAGTCAGGCATTGACTGATAGTGTTGGATAGTTTAGGTTGGAGAGTTTAGGTTCCTGCAGCTATGCTATGCGTGGTGCTTTGGATTCTTCTGATAGTGTTTGCACCTAACTGTTCCAACAGTGTGGCTGTGGCCAAGAAATATACATACATCAATGAAAGCCATTGGGTAGCAGCTGCAGCCACGTCTCATACACACCTGTCACATTGGCCACAGCCAACACTTTTGGACACACCCGAAGAACGTATCATACTATCATTTAATGTTGTTGGAATGACTTCTCTAGGGGCTCACACAATGGGGTTGACACTTGTTTGTCTATTCTGGCACTGATTAAGTGCAAGTATTTGACGTCTGACTTTGTTCATACGTAAAGGGTCTTTACAGATGTGAGCGTCTCCGTACTGCTGTGGTTATGCTCAAGTGTTGGCTCAGTCTGCTCCTTTTTCATCACTGAAGGATTCTTTGTGTGCAGAAGCCAGAGCTGTTTTAGAGAGAGTTGTGACATGAGTGTCTCAATTGTTGGAACCCAAATGGTTGATTATGTTAGAGCAGTTATGCGTTAGTTTTCCATTAGTTTATACACCCTGCCAGCTTGCTCAGTGGAACAACTTTCAACTCATTTTAAGATTCCTTTTTTTAATATTGAAATGGGTTTCGTCTTCATCTTTTAGGCTGTTCTGGAGAGCACGTGGCCAGCGTCTGGCTTCAGTGGCTACCAGCAGTGGGTCAAGCTGCGCAACACCCTGCGAGCGGTCACGCTATTCCGGCGCGGCCTGAACCACCGCCGCAGCATCTACTCGGACACCAGCAGCGAGGTGGACGTGGGCAGCGGCACCAGTGGGGACAGTGGGTCCTCGGACCCTCTGCCAGACGGGAGAGGGGATGACCTGATCCAGCTGATGTCCTCGCAAGCCACCAACCTGACCCGGGAGGAGAAGAGTAGTACTGGTAAAGCTGGTTTCTTTAACCCGATTCTAAGTTACTTACTATCCATCATGGGAGGCCTCAGTATGTAATATTTTTTTGGGAGGGAGAAATTTTTTTAGGGGGCTGCAAGAGACCGTAGGAACGATACGTATTTCCCCTTAACCCTAAAATAGCTGGTGACATTTTTTCCAGCTGAAGCGATGGGGATGATTCTGCCCTAGCCTTAGATCTCAGGCGTTGAGTGACCTGTTTGATTTTTTTAGCAGGCATGTGAAAGACATCCTTTTGAGTACACCTGTGAAATTTCCAATCAATTTGTATTTCATTTTTGAATGCATCTTAGCCCAAGTATCGAACAGGCTGATCTTTTGGGCATTTTGCCAAATTTTGTCACATTTTTCACGAAACTGGTGTCAAAATGACCACAAGACACCAGTGGGAAAACTCCTGAAAGTCCAGCACAATTAAAAAAATGCATTTTGTCACTATGTATCGATTAACATTGCCCCAGAGACATCGCAGCACTGCATTTCATGTCATACACGAAATGAGATGCCGTGTTAGTTTATCTCAGGTAATTGTTGGTCGGAAAGTTTTAATTGGAAACTCTTGGAAGCAGTGTGCAGAACTGAGGTCGTGGCACGGTTTTTTTTTTGTACAATATCAAGTCAGAATGATTGAGAATCAGCACCATTCTAGGTATGATGTGGCTCAACCTGAATGAACAGAACTTTGCAATTCGAGACCGAGAAGATGAAGGCCAACTCCACGGAATGTATTGATATCAGTCAAAATAGAATCTGATTTTTTTTTCACCGGTAACAAATTCAAATTGTGTTTTTTGCCGAAGTCGCTATGGAAACTACTCTCACTTTGCAATCTGAATGAAGCCATGAAACATGAATAACGTCTTTGTTCATTTTACATGCAACATTAATAGGCGTTGCAAGATCCTAAATTATAACAGCTTTCTTAATATTCATCATATTAATTTATTAAGTAATTCAAGTCATGTCACATTATTGGAATTTATGTGTGGCCAAGTTTTATGTTACTTGCCCTTTCAAAGACTTTGGTCATTAACTCCATGTTGGTTGCTCATTTAAAAGAGTGTGGATTGACCCCATGAAATTTCATACATGTACATGTACCTTACTTTGGAAAGTGTCCTATAACAGCAAACTTTGTTTTCCTACTAATTTTGAAGTCTGTTAAAAATTTATTTGAATTTTTGTCCCTGAAAAGTTTTGTAGAAAGAATTTTCAACTACCGGTAGCAATTTCTTAAGATTTCACAGAAATCTTGTGACACATGGAGTCCTATGTATTCTTTGTCACTTTTGAACAGTGTTGAAATGTCATTTTTGTCAGATTATTGCTAATCCGTAGTTTATTACAGCCACGGTAGTGTAGTATCCCAAGTGTGTAGCATGGCTTGAATCTGGCTGTATTATAAGGGTAGTCATATCACAGATATTAGTCAGGTAGTTTCATGATTAGAGCTGTTCAGGAGTTCAGAAAAAAAGCTGCCATGAAGTAGCAACGGTGGCTTTTAGCCAAGCACTTTTATTTAGTTAGTTGGGACAGTTGCCAGCTTTAGGTGGTGCCAATAGTTTCAGACTTGGTAGTTGGCCACAATTTTGCTACTGCTCTCACTCAGGGAATGTCTCAAAAGTTGGAGCATTCTTGTTCCCTCTGGACCACCCTTTTATGGAACAACTTGTGCTCCCCAAGGGAAGTTGTTATATTCCAATCAGGAACATCCTCACCAAGTCGGTACACTCACACACAGACACACACATACGAATGGTGGGTGCTCCCAATTCAGGCAATGCAGCTTCTCAGATCAGCTGATTGCCTTGTTTATCACATCACATTTGTGCCATTGAGAATTGAGAAACACTGTACAAAGTCTTGTCAAGATTTGGATTTCCTTGTTTTGGCCAGAGGCCAAGTTGCATGCCTGCCAATTGGAACAAGTAAAGTTCTTGTCAGAATGTCGCTCTGACTTTTGAGACATGTCCCAAGCAGTGTGTTTTTTTTGGCTAACAACATCATCAGCTCTCTCTTGCAAGTGACCAGCCTCTGCTCCCCCCTACTTACTTTAATCCGCTTTGCAGGCAACTCAGACATGGGCTACAGCTCCATGATCATGGATGAGTCGGCACCCAACGAGGTCCTGGCCTCACCTGAGCTCTCCCCCATCCGGTTCAGCGCCGAGAGGAGCACCGGCAGCGACAGCGATGCCAAGGAGGTGACGGACGGCGAGGAGAAGGAAGAGGAGGTCGAAGGTTACTCCCAGGACACCCTAAAACGCAAAGACCGCAGTGAGGCCATCGACCTCATGAAACATGGTCAGCTGCTTTGGCTTTGCATGAAATCTTGAAAAGCCTCATTCAAACAACATTCATCTAAAATCTGTGTTTTTTCCCTCATAATACTGACACCTTGCTGGATGACTTTCCCAGTTGGCTCCATGTTCTTTCCATAACATTCATCAACACAATTGTTCTTTTGAGCCGATTTTCTATGAGCCTCTTAAGAGCTGTAGTTACTGAGAAAGCGTTTCAAAACACCATTTTGCTACTGCAGTGAAATGGCTTCTGTGTATTGGCTGTCTGATTGGCTGCTTAGGGAAGCCTATGGTCTGGCGGTCAGAGCTTTTTGTGGGCGAGCAGGTGTGGGCTTGTTTTTTAGTTGAGTGCTTGCCAAAGCACTGAAGCAGCACTAGGAAAATGTGGCCTTTTTCTGACTGCATATGCACGCAGCTGTTCACTTAGTAGCGCTTGCAATGCTTATATAAGGATAGTCAGCTGTGATTGATAGAAGAATTAAAGCAGATTTGGCATCATGGCGTTTTTATTTTGATGAATGAAGTGGACTTCATTTGTCCTCAAATGTTTGTAGTGAAATCAGTGCTTCCTCAAAAGCGTCTAAGGAGATGTGGCTTGAAGAAACCTGTGGAGAGAAGAAGTGTTCAGTTCTAGAGGTGGAGGGAAGCAACCTGGATACTTAACCCAGGAATAACCCATGTAACCAGGGAGGCACTGAAAATCCAATTCAAATACCGACCCCGGCGGGATTTGAACCCAGGCTTACAGAAGTGGAAAGCGAGGAAGGTACCACTGTGCCAACCTGCCACCCACCTGCCCGAAACAACACGGGAATACCAGAGGGTTGAATTGCGTACAAGTTTTGTCCTGCCCAGACAGAATGTAGTACTATCTATTCACTGCTCTCTAAGCTGTTGTGAGAGTATGATATTGTAGAGCTGGCAAGACCCAGACCTAAGATTACCCATTTGCAGATGAGCTCAGCCACTTGACCGGTGAGATTGTTCTCGTCAGGTGGTACAAACTCAAAACTACATCCTTGTGAAAATTTGTGCACTTAGAAGATGGAAGCATTTACTTTTTGCTCGAATCACCTGTGTGAAATCTAACACCCCAAAACACATCACTCATGTCCAGTTGGCTGCTTCTCGGTCACATTCCCTGAGTCTTTCCATTATTTCACTGTACTGTCAGTGCCATCATCATAGGCACCAGCCTGTTGTGACTGGCCGCTAAATTTTTCCAAGGAAGGTTAGGGGTTTTTATCATTTATGTGTGTGGTTAACTGCAAGCTTGATGAATGTAGTGGATGCTTAGAAACTTAAGTGCTAAGGTAAATGTTGGGCTTTACTTTCCTATCATCAAAACATCCCCCAACCAACTAATTTCCCACCAAGAAAAAAAAATACGATCATATTAGACTTGAACCCTTGGCTTGTTGGTTCCAAATATAATGCTCTTCTAACAGAGCTACCATGCAAGTCAGCCAGAAGAGCAATTTTGTTGTGTCTTATACTTAAATAGTTCGTGTGCCCCATTTATGATAGTTGCCCCCAACCTTCCTAGATGAAATGTGCATGCGCAACAGTTAAGATGCGCCCATTTTATCATAATTGCCCAAAACTTTCCTAGGAAAAAAATTTCGCTGACCGGCCAAGCCTTTAGGAGCCAGTTCAATGCAAGGAGGGTTGCTGTACCGATGCATATTTTGTTTCTGTGCTTACATGAGTTTCATAGCTGATCGATGTCATAGGAATCTTTGTTCACGTTTTCGTTTGGAAATGTTGAAGTTACAATACCAGCATAATTGGTGAGCTCTTAATTCATCGTCAGCACATGAAATTATACCATTTTCACAAATTTTGTACTGACTTCACAGATGCAGCTGAAATTGTTGGCGCGAGAAGCGCAACCTCCACCCCAGTGAATCACAGCCTGGACTCAACCGCAGACAGCAGCAACAAGTCCAGCAGTAGCCAGCCAGCTGACCAGCCGGACGCCAGGGGCACCAAGGAGTCAGGCATCAGCATTGTCCGGCACTCGCGGGGCAGTGTTGGAAGCACAGGGAGCATGGGCACCCTGCAAGGAAGCACTGGTCAGTTGCTGGGGGGAGGGACCTGGCCTTTATTAAGAGAGGGATCTCTTCAGTCGTGGGCCATGCATTTTTTTTAGATTTTTTTGCTGGCTGTTTCACTGGCTGGTTAATTTGCTTTGATCATGCAGTCATATGAACCATTCAGGCAATGCGCCAATTTCGTGCTACAAAAAAAGTAAGGTCATTCAAGAACAAAGCACCTGATGTCCATGTTCAGTTTGCATGAGTCGGCATAATTGCTGCACTAAGGCCAAACCCCCTGTGCATGTGTTCATGTTTTTTTGAATGACTTGGTGACACACTTTGCGTCATTCATGCACGGTTGTAATTCTAGTCTGGCTCTCTGAAATCTGTATATTCTCAGTACAGTCTCATTACGGCATGAGCACAGTTTTAGCTTTTTTCAAAAAGCTACATAGCTGTTTGGGCAGAATGGGGTATTTATCTTTTTTAAATCAAGCAAAGCAAATTTATTGCCTCGCAAAAATCAAACATCGGCTTGAAAACAACCAGAGACGTCTCTTTGGTGGCTGTATCCATAGATTAATTTTGAATGGCAGCAGTCACACTGCTGTGAGCATAACAGCGCCATGTCTGTAGTGTGCAATGATGGTGTGCCTGAGTTTGTCAAAAGACCCTTCATTTTCTACCCACAGAGAGTACTGTGGTGTGCATAGTTCATACAACCACATGTCATCATATGCTTTGCACTCCCACCTGTTGGGTATTCATTCTGCATACCATTATGTACCCTTTGGATCTGAACGTTGTATTCGTTGGTAAATGGAGTTTGTGAAAGAAATTAGAATATCCTGCTGTGCAGCGGGTGTACAGGTAAATATTTGGTATTTTGTGGGGAAGCTACCTTTATTGCAGTCATAATTTGGAATTGGGCATATTTCTGTTTCATATGTTCCTCACTCTCACTCATTGCAACCATTTTGTATCAGGGAGTTCAGCAGGGGTGGTTCTAGGTGGTCCCCTGTCCCTGGAGAACTCTGTGGAGGAGAGTGTGTTTGAAGGTGTAGACACCAAGGAACCCGGCAGGGACTCGTCAAGTGAGCGGCGTCGACATCGGAGTGCTGACCACTCGGTCACCATCCCCATGCATGGCTCGCTGCACAAGCGCAACAAGAGCGGGGATGCCAACAACTCGCCCTTTGGCCTGAGCCTGTCCAGCCAGGGCAGTGTCGACCGGGAGTCCAGTGTCTCCATGGAGCTGTTTGGCAGTGATGCCAAGATCCTGGCCGGCATAGCGGATGATGAGACTTCCATTGCAACCTCTTCACTGGGAAACAGAACTAACAGTATTCACTGTCGGCCTTCCCCGACCTCCGTGGAGGTCACCCGTGCACCTCGTTCTTACTCGGTTGGAAGTAAGCCTGATTTTGTGAGCCATAGGACGCCAAATGGGAGCATCTCAAACAAGGAGCTCACAAAGCTGTCTGATCAAACAAAGGCAGTGCGGGGTGAGAGAATTCCCTTCTCTGTGCCTGCCAAGGACTGCAAGAAGGACCTGCTGATTTCCTTTGAGGAGGAAGGCTTGGAAGAAACAGAGAGCCAAAAGGAAGCTCTAACGAACCATGAAAGGACAAGCTCAAATGACGGGCAGTGCTGACTTGCTCGGTTTAGGGATGGATACCATCAGGGATTCCACTGTTAGTGCAAAGGAGACAGATCTGGTAGATTTGAGGACTGATTGGAATGATACCATTGAAGAGGAGAACAGTGAAGAGGTAGCTGCTGAAGATGCTTTAAATTCCAGGACTACACGGCAGGAAGAAGATGGACCACTGGAGGAGGCCCCCTCCTCTCCCATTTTCCATGGTGACAACCTAGACTCCAACAGCTCCAAGTCAGGCTCGAGGGACAGCCTGGACTCCAACAAGGAAAAGGTCACCCCACGCAAGGGCAGCCTGTTCTCGGGGATCCTCACCACGGGCTTCACCCCCCGCCTCAACCGCCAGTCCCTCACCAAGACCCTCAGCAATGCCTCCTCTCAGATGGAGACTTTCGGCTCGGCCTTCAAGGCCAGGACCATGGGATTCGCCACCAAGATCGGGGAGTACACACGCTCCTTCTCATCCCCGGCAGCCCCCAAGCCCATCCCCTCCAGGAACTCAGCCATGGGAAGCCTGAACAGTCTGGAAGGCATGCCGCAAATGGAAGATAACTCAGAAATGGGTAGCTCCTGGAATGAATCTGCTATGGACAGTGTATCCCTGGGAAATATGGGTATTCACCTTCCAGGATCCTCGTTAGAAGGTTAGTAGCTATGAAGATGCAGGAGTAAAAAGCCAATGTATGCTGAATTTTACGCCGGAGAAGGTCTTAAACAAGCTTTGGTATGCTTCTTTTGCAAGTTATACTTTGCTAAACAGTGCGTTCTTTGAGTTACATGTACATGTAGCTTTTAACCACTTCATGCCGGGGCATTTTTCAATCTTGATGATGCTGGGCCGTTTTCAAAATCCTTCAAAAACTCATCATTTCATTTAACGGTCGTTTATAGCCGCACAAAGTAATCTTTAGGCACTACTCTAAGTTGACAGG